ACTCTGACCTGCCGCCCTTGCGCTGCTCTTCGCCTTCCATCTCTAGGCGTTCTGGGGTTTTCTAGCCTTAAGGTGCCTTTCCCGCCCAGCCGTCCGGTTGCGTTACCTGCGTTAGCAGTTAGCCTCGATGGTGAGCAGTGTCAGCGGCTGTGCGCAGTGCCAAGCGCAGGAGGGGCGGTCTTGGCATTTGCTGCGGTTTAGGCATTGTCAGGAATTGAACTCTGGTGTGGGATTAGCCCAAACACGCGACAGTTACTTTGTTTTTCGAAGCTGCTGTCTGAGAACGCCCCTGCTCCTGCGTCCCCGGTGCGAGTTTCATCTCGTGCTCCCTCTCAGCGTTCCTGAGTCCAAATCTCCGGCTTCCCGCCGGTGGCTTGGGTGCGCTGATGGGACTTCTCCCGCCCGTGGCTTCTGCCAGGGCTGGGGCTGCGGGGAAGTTTGCCGCTGCCTGGTCAGTGCCATTCGCTCCAGAGCCGGTCTGGGTTTGGCACTCGGGGGAGGTCTGTTCACATAAAGTGCTTTGGTTGGTGGTTTTCCTCTGTTGGCATTGTTTCATACAAAACAGTTAAGCTCAAACGTACCTTTTTCCTCTTTTACCGTAACTTTATTTTGTTGAACTATTTCTGTATTATATTTTGAAAGGACAGTAAGTATATTTAGTCCCATCCTGGAATATCTTCGATGATATTTCTGAGCAAACTTAGATCACTAAACGTGAGAACATTTCAAAGAAGGGTTCATTTCAAAGGAAAAACATTTCAAAGGAAGCGCTGCGGGGACAAGTGAGTGGTCCTGTGCTTTTTCTGCAGGGCGCGGGTTGATTTAAACAGAGCACTGTGAACCCAGAACAGCTTGGAGGGGTTGACGTTCTCTTCCCTTGCTACTCTCAGGATGTGATTTGGAGGTGTGTAAGGACTGTTCAGCAACATTACCTGAAAGAAAACTGTGCCACTTGTGAGATAACACAAGTTCCTTATTTTTTCTGTTTCTTGTGTAGTGTATGATTTTTACCCCTTTCTGTATCTTTTTTCTTATCTATTTAAATTTTTGTCTTTTTGGAGTCCTCCTGGAGAAGTTGCAAAGTGGCAAAAGACTTAATTTTTTTCAGCTTGTCATAGGAAATTGGCAAATGATAGATTTTACATCAAGTTTGAAAAATGCAAAGCATGTTTTACAATGCACCTGTTATGTTCATAAGCCTCCAGCTGCCACAGCTTCAGTGCCTTGCTTTGCTCATCAGTGCGTTCAGTCTGGAGCTCAGACTGTTGGGAAGTCAAATAGTGCCCCAGAAACTCATTCTTATCATCAGGGAGCAGGAGGATGAAGGAACACAGCAGCTGTAATTATTGCCAAAAATACATTTCTTCCATTCTCAGTCACAAACACGGGCTGAGGTCTGAGCACTGGAGTACAGTTTTTGTTTTCACACAGATCAGTTTCGTTCAGCTGTGTGAATGGCACGGGGAGCTTGCACATTGTTGCACCTTTGGATCTGCATGGTTAGCGTAAAAAAAGGTCACCACCTCCTCTCCCACTTACTTTAAATGCTTTTCCCTTAAGGGAAAAAATTTCAGTAGTCTTTGGGTATCTCTGAAGTATTTTTGATTGTTTATGAAGAATGTACAAAGTTGCTTTCCTGAAGATAGAATGGATTGTTTTTTAAATGTTCCTGCTATGTTTTTGAGTAGCAAAAAATTAAATGAAAAGCTCTGTTTCTAGGAATTATTTTTTTCTGACTACGCACACTGCTTGTCCTTGTGTGGACATAGGCAAATCAAAGTACTTAAAAATATTAAATTCATGCTACATAAAACATTTTGATAGACTTAAATATTTCTTCCATTAAGAATACTCTACGTCTGGTCTGACAGACAGCAATAGGTTTGGCTTGACCCGCCAAGGTAGTCGTAAAGCGGTCAATGGTATTACTCTGTGGACTTTCTCCAAGGGAAATAAAATAGGGTTTTTGTTTTTAAAGGTACATCTTCTAAGATGATATGCTAGCAGAGTGCAAGACAGAAATATCAATTCATTTGTATGTTTGGTTTCTTTAATTAGGTAATATGTATGATTTCACTCTTTTGAGTGCGCTGAAAAATAACCTGAAACAAAACAATATTGCTGTCAGCTCCTTCTGCTGTGCAGGAAGCAGCAAATGACATCCTCCAGGCAAACAAAACCCAGCTCTTCTCCAAAGCGCTCTTCCAAGAGGTGGTAGTTCAGTTCGTAAAGCGAATCCTGGCAGACAGCAGCCATTGGCGCCGAGGAGGGCAGCGCTTCGGGGAGGCGAGAAGGCAGGATGCTGCAGCAGGCTTTCCTGCCTTTGCAAGGGGGGAGCTGCTGGCTGCCTGCACAGGGCTCCAGCCTGGGCCTACGCACAGGCGTGTGGGCAGGCAGCAGCCCCGGGGAACACCAGTGTGGCAGACGCCCGTTGGGAGCACCGGCCCAGCTCTCTGACACAGTCCTGCTGGGCAAGGCTCTGGTTCTCTGTAGTAGACAGTCAGTTTGGGATGATGTTCTCACCCAAAACTTGTTTGGGTTATTTGCAAGGCTGAGAGGAGAACAGATACATCACATAGGTGAATCCCGGACAAAAGGAAAGATCTGTTCTTCCACTAACAACTAGGGTCATCCACTAACAACTAGGGTCAATAAATAAGTATCTGTGGTTTGCTTTTTTCCCCCCTCAAATGTATTTTACTTCATAGTATCAGTCCTTTGCTTGTCACAGCTTCCAATGGTAAGATTTAGTTTGATGCTAGGTGGACACACTAGTAGGTGCAACCTGCTCCAGTCAAGCCTTTTAACTACTTCAGTCTTCTAAAATTATCCCAAAATGTGGGATAAACTTACCACAGAGAGATGCTGTGAAGATACTTGAGCTAAACCATCTTCTAGGCATCTAACCACAACTTCTCAACTCAGTCCTTTAGTGCAAGGCGCTGAAGCTTTAGTGTTTCATACGAGCTGTATAAGGAGCTATTGTTTTGAAATTCAGCTGTTGCTAATGGTGTTATGGCTAAATTATTTTATGATTGTGCATTAAAACCCTGTCTCTGTGGAGTGGTAGTTTAGGGACTGGCCTTATTAAGGTTTATTTAAGGGTTTGACTTTTTCATATAAGTAATTTACTGTATCTTTTTAACTTATCTAAAATGTACTGAAATATGGTAGTTCTAATTAGGTGGGGTGGATCATTCCAGTTCTAGTAGTATTGATCTATAATTTATTTCTTTCCCAGCAAGCCTGTGACATCTAAGCCTGGGTAGATAATGATTTACCTAACTCAGCGCGTTGCACTGTTGATAACTGTAGTTGGTAGTGATGTAGTAATTATATGGCACTATAGTAGTATTCTAGAGGAAAGGTAGTTTGCAGAAACTACTGGGGCTGTCAATCAATGTATGGTGGAAGTAAACAGTAGTCAAGCAGGAGGAGAGAAAGTTAGAAAGGGATATGGCTGCCATTTTAACAGCGCAAGTTTTACAAATGTTATTTAATGTAAAAGAGCTACGGAAACAATCTGATTTTCTATTTTCTGACAGATTACAAAATTATCATGATCGTGGTAAAGATCTGATCATGACCCAACAATTTCTAACAGGGCAAGAGGACGTTCTATTAAGACCATCAGATATTAGTATGCTGTAGATATTTCATGTTTCACCAGGAGACTAAGGATCTGAGCTAGTATTTGTAGAAGGGTTGGTTACCAGTTGTGGGTTTTGGGGATTGTGCTGGGTTTGCATGGCAAGGTTTTCATAGTGGGGGGAGCTACAGGGGTGGGTTCTGTGAGGAGCTGCCAGAAGCTTCCTCCATGTCCGATAGAGCCAGTGCCAGCTGGCCCCAAGACCAATCCGTCGCTGGCCAAGGCCGAGCCAAGCACTGATGGTGGTAGCACCTCTGGGATAGTGTATTTAAGAAGAAAAAAACCCTGGGCGAGGGCATTTTTCAGCTGGAGAGAGGAGGGAGAACTCTGCAGGCCCCAAGGTCAGTGCAGAAGGAGGGGGAGGAGTTACTCCAGGTGCCGGAGCGGAGGTTCCCCTGCAGCTCGTGGAGCAGATCATGGTGAGGCAGGCTGAGCAGGGGGATGCCCAAAGGAGGCTGTGACCCCGTGGGGAGCCCGCGCTGGAGCAGGCTCCTGGCAGGACCTGTGGGCCCATGGAGAGAGGAGCCCACGCTGGAGCAAGTTTTGCTGGGAGGACTTGTGACCCCGCAGGGGACCCACGCTGGAGCAGCCTGTGCCTGAAGGGCTGCACCCCGTGGGAAGAACCCACACTGGAGAATTTCATGAAGAATTGCACCCCGTGGGAAAGACTCATGTTGGAGAAGTTTGTGGAGAACTGTCTACTGTGAGAGGAACCTCATGCTGGAGCAGGGGAAGAGTGTAAGGAGTCCTCCTCCTGAGGAGGGAGTGGCAGAGACAGCGTTTGATGATCTGACCACAGCCCCCATTCCCCACCCACCTGCGTCGCTCAAGGGGAGGAGGGAGAGAATTCAGGAGTGAAGTTGAGCCCGGGAAGAAGGGAGGGGTGG